GCCATAATTAAAAAACATGTTCAGACAGACTCTTCTGTCTAGAAAGAATGAGCTTACATTTATTTAACAAACACTCATATAGGATTTACCTTGGGCATTGTACTTTGAGTTGGGCATTGCTATAAACATTTTACATATGTTAACTAATTTAATTCTCATAAGAATCCTATCAGGGTACTTTCATTTCCCCTATTTCACAGATGCAGACGCTGAAGCACAGTGAGGTAACTTGCCTAAGGACATACAGCTGGTGAATGGCAGCGCTGGAATTTGAACCCAGGCAATCTGGCTCCAGAGTCTGTGTGCATAGACCTTTATTGTATGTTGCATTTTAAAAAGGCCACTCTCTAACGGAATTTCATGTTATATCCTTTAATAACATGAGTCGTCTCCCCTTCCCCACCTACCCAATAATGCATCTATTTTGTGTATCTGAATTTTCAAGCTCCTAGTTTGTTTAATCTTGTAATCGTGATGCTTTTTAGAAAATGTGGTAAAATGTACATAACACAAAATTTATCATTTTAACATTTTTTTTTTAATTTTATTTATTTGTTTTTTCCCCCAAAGCCCCAGTAGATAGTTGTATGTCATAGCTGCACATCCTTCCAGTTGCTGTATGTGGGACACGGCCTCGGCATGCCGGAGAAGCGGTGCGTCGGTGTGCGCCCGGGATACGAACCCGGGCCGCCAGCAGCGGAGCACGCGCACCCAACCGCTAAGCCACAGGGCCGGCCCATCATTTTAACATTTTTAAGTGTACAGTTCAGAGGTATTAAGTATATTCACGTAATTGTGGAACCATCACCACCCTCCATCTCCAGAATTCTCTTCATCTTGAAACTTCCTACCCATTAAATAGTAACTCCCATTCCTGTCTCCCCTCAGCGCCTGGCAACCATCATTCTACTTTCTGTCTCTATGAGTTTGACTGCCCTGGGTTCTTCATATAAGTGGAATCATACTATATTTGTCCTTTTGTGTCTGGCTTATTTCACCTAGCATAATGTCTTCAAGGTTCATTCATGTTGTAGCCTGTGTCAGAATTGCCTCCCTTTTTGAGGCTGAATAATATTCCACTGTATAGAGTCAACACATTTGTTTATTCATCCACAGATGGACACTTGTGTTGCTTCTACCTTTTGGCTGTTATGAATAATGCTGCTATGAACATGAGTGTACAAATATCTGTTGTCTCTGCTTCCAGTTCTTTTGTATATATACCCAGAAATGGTATTGCTAGATCATATGATAATTCTATATTTAATTTAATTGTGCTGCTTTTTAACAGTTACAAAATCATAACATTCTATAAATATTACAAGAAGGGGAGATTTTATAACCCCTTTCTGAGAATGGTGCTATAAATCCCTCTTTAGGGGTAAACTCAGCTGGTGATGCAACAGAAAATGGACTGAACTCTGCTGCAGCTGGTGAATGGAGTGTGCCTGTGATCTGCCAGAGCTGGGGATGCTGCATTCCTCTGCTGTGAGGTGGAGAAGTCTTCCCAGGAAGACTGAGGGTACCTGGCCCTGGCTGGGGCTTGATTCTGGGGGGATGCTACTGGCCTAGGACATTGAGTTCTGCTGGTCAGAGGGGCCCCCATATTATACCTCAGCTGGCCCACCTACTGTCAACCTCCACCCAGGCTGACGAGAAACGGAAGGGGAAGGTTTCAGGGAATCAAGAGCACCTTCCAGTAATTATTGATTAGTCAAGGCCAGAGGCCAGGGGAGGGGTCTGCGTGTCAGCCGCACCCACTCCCCTGCTGCACTGCTTAGCATCAGCATTGTCCCTATAGATGACCAGAGAACAAAAGGTGTTGTTTTAAACCCTCCTGGTTGGGAATAGCCCTAACAGAGCAGCTCGAGCCTGGGGGGTGGGGCAGGGCAGGAATTAAAAAAAAAAGAAAAAGAAAAAAAGACTCCGGTGAGTCAGAATATCTGGAATCTTGACCAGCTGTCACTAACTGGCTGTGTCCCCTTTGGCAAACCACTTCACCTCTTGAGGCCAAGGGCAGGAGGACCAGATGATGAATAAGTACCTTTTGGATTCAAAACAATCTATGTATTTATTCTATGGGGCCTCCAATAGACTCTGTCTGTGGCAAACTTTAAGAAGCTTAATCCCTTGAGGTCAAAGGTGACAGGGCTTGCTTGCTGGGAAGGAGTCTGATCAAAGCAGTGCCAGCCCAGAGCTTCCCCCTCTAGGGGAGACGGAGGGTAACTGCAGGAACACGCACTGGGTGCTGGGAGAGGGTCTGGGAGGCCCAAGAAGGGGGTGTCCCAAACACCAAGTTCTGCTCCTCTCCTCTCCCCTCCCAGCCTACCTAACCCCGAGGGCCTGCTGTGATGGGGTAGACAGATGTCCTGCAGGGTCCTTGGTCCTGCGCCCTTCCCCACTGAGAGTTCTCAGCGAGGAGCCAGACCTCACTCTAGAGCTGCAGTTACCAGCTGTGCAGTCTTGACCAAGTCACTTCACTTCTCTGAGCCTTGGTGTATTCATCTGAAAATTGAGGACAATATCTCCTAGCTCCCAGAGTTAAGAAGTCCAAAGGAGACTGTGTTAAGTGAAAGTACTTTGTAAATAGCTGAGTTACCTGAGAGGTGCCCTGGGTAAAGTCCTCCTTGTTTCTTCTGCTGCAGAATTACTGCAGTGTGTCTAAAATCCCCAGGCCCAGGGTGCTTCAGCCCTGTCTGGTTCTCATTTCTGTTTTCTGGTGACCCGATATCCCCATTCCCACTCTGCGATTCACCCCAGAGCTCTAGCCAAATCCATATTCCCCACAGGCCTGAGTTTTCTCCTGTTCGCTGGGGACAAGAAGCCAGGCATGTGAGGCTGGTGACCCCATGGGTGCTGGCATCAGGAAGCCGGTCTGGGAGAGGGCAGGTCAGGCTGAACTGTGCAGGTATGTTTCCTTCTCTTCCTTATCAGTGTTTTTCATAACAAAGCCTGGAATGTTGGCCCATGAAGTTTGAACCTTCGCTGAGCGTAGAGTTCAGATGGGACCTGACAGATGTCAGAGAGCTCGCTCAGACTATACTCCATGGACGGCCACATGTCCCAGACAAAGGCCCTGCTCAGCAGTGGGGATACAGAGACGAGCTTTATAGTGTGGCAGGGAAGACGGAGTGGTGAACAAAGTCGGCATGGGTTTTTGAAGCAGTGCAGAGATGGACCACCTCATCCGACCTTGTGGATGATAGGATTCCAGGGAAGTAGGGAAGAGACTGGAAGCCTTCCTGGAGAAGACACCCCAGCCAAGTCTTAAGAGTAAGTAGAGTGTGGGACAAAGGAGGGGAATTTCTGGCAGAGGGAATAGCTTGAACAAAGGCGTGAAGGTGAGAAGCCATAAATAATATTGTTGACCATAAATAATATTGTTGAAAAATAATTATATTCAAGGCATGGAGATGCAGAAAACGAGGCTGAGAAAATCAAGATGAGCCAGATCTTTTAATTTGAATCACAATACCAAAATTTGCATATTGTTGCTCTCATTTTACAAATTGGGAAATAGAGGCTCAGAGAGGTTAAGCAACTTGCCCAAGTCACATAGCCAGCAAGTGGCAGAGCTGGGATGGGAACTCGATCTGTCTGACTCCAGAACACAGGCTCCCTACTGGTGGATTAGAGAGGGGGAGGCCCACTTTGGTGCAGATGCCAGGTGGGGTCTGAGACACCTGTTCTTGGGCTTTTTCAAACTCGATCTGAACAGAGGGCTTTCTGCAGCCTTCTGGTTTCAGGCTGGCAGCTTGTAGTCTCCCTTTGATTATTTTCAGGTCTGCATCTGCCACAAATAGAGGGGAAGAGGGCAACCACAACGAGAACCACCTTCCAGCCCTGCTGCAACCCCATTTTAAATAGCAGGAGAGAGGGCTAGTGGCCTAAAGATCTACCCTCCCGTATGCCTTCTTTTCTCTGTTTATGGGTGTGGCTGAAGCAAGCCTACCCAGACCAGCCTCTGTCATGGGTTGGTCAGAGTATGTGCTTGGTTTTACCTAGCACTGCTGATGGGTGGTTCCCACAGAGAGACCCAGATGTACGGGGTCTGCATTTCAGAAGCTCTGTCCCTTCATGCCAGATCCTATCCACTTGGGGGCTCCTTTCAGGCCATGCCCATTCCAGCTGCCCCACGAACCTTGAGCCTGGTTAGGATCAGCCTGAAGCCCAAAGTGAAAAAGCACATTCTAATTAGCAATTGCTGGTCCAGAAGCTTCTCAGCCTAGACCTTATTTCAGCATTTTTTGTTCCCTCCAAACTGGGCTCTGAGGCCACCCTGTCAGCTTTAGGCTCCCTGGGTAACCTTGATGGGCCCTTTCAAGAGGTCTTTGTGGTTGCTCCTGAAAGCCAAGAACCAGTTTCTATCTGTCAAATCAGGAGGGTGGATAGGCAGGTTTTGACATCGATGGAACACCTGTGGCCCAGACCCTGTGTCAGGTGGAGAGATGCCATCTCCTGGAATCTTCATAATCATCCTGACCAGTATACACTTTCTTATTTCTATCTGACAGATGAGGAAACCGAAACTCAGACTGCGAACAGCAGTCACAGACCCAGGAGGTGGAGGTCTGCATGGGAATCCAGGTCTACCCGCCTGCTTCCAAAGCCCAAACCGTGTCCTTGCCGTGCTGCAGCCTGCAGGGAAGAGGCAGGCACGCAGAGAGAATGTACCTCTACGATACTGAGTCTTCGCTGGCCACGCCTCATACCAGATCGATTAAATCGAATCTCTTGGTGGGGGTGGGGGGTAGGGGGACACACCCAGACATCGGTGGCTTTTAGGGCTCCCCAGGTGATTTCAAGGGGCAACCCGGGCTGCCAAGCACTGATCTACTGTAACAGTAAGAGGCACATCGCCTCCCCGAGGGCTCTCCAGGTGTTCCTTTCACAGCGAAATCCTGTTCATCAAACCCCAAATCAAAAAGAGCCAGTGGTGTCTAATTCCCCTCCTCTCATCAACAGAACCGGGAGGGGTTGGGGAGGGTCCTGGCAGAGCTCGCCCCCGCCGGGCTCGGGGTTTCCTGTCCTCGCGGCTCAGGTGCGGTGCTGCGCCAGGAAGCCACCCGCTCTGGTCCGCCGGTGCGCGGGGCTGTTGCGCCATCCGCTGGGGCTTTCGTAACAGCACCCTGGGACGGCCTAAAGACACTCCAGCGCGAGTTCCTCAAATGTTTTCCTGCGCTGCCAGGACTGTCCGCTGCTCTGAGTCATGTGCAAGTGGGAAGTCGCACTGACACCGAGCCCGGCCAGAGGGAGCCGAGCCGAGCGCGGCGCGGGACTCCGGGACTCGCCGTGCGTGCAGAGCGCGGCCCCCCCGGGGATGGGGGCTGCCCTCGGGGCCTGAGCCCGCCCGCCGCCCCGCCCCGCCCCGGCCGCTCGGTCCCGACCCGCCCGCCCGCCTCTCTGGGACCATGGGGCATTAGCGGAGGAGGAAGCATGCTGGCCGTCCGCTGCGCGCTGCTGACCGCCCTGCTTGCCGCGCCGGGGGCGGCACTGGCCCAAGGGGGCTGCCCTGCGCTGGGTAAGGGCTTCGAGCGCACCTGGAGGGCTGGGGCAGCTGGCGGGTGGGGGAAACCGCTGTGGCCGCCGCAGACCGGGGGCGGCGGGAGGGAGGAAAGGAGGGGTGACAGCTCCCCTTTTCAGTGGCTAGCTTAGGTCCCCGCGGGCACAAGATGCGGGCTCTGGGCTGACCCAGCTGTTCCGTCGCGGGCGGTCGTTTGTGCGCTCCCTGCTGCGCCGTGCGCCTGTGGCCGGGCGCGCTCTGTGTGACTGCCCTGTGGCCGGGAAGCTGTCTGCGGTCTGCGTACAGCACTTGGTGTGTATTCAGAAACTCGATTCACGTGTCTCCTTCGCAGTGCCCCCAAGAGCCTTTACACAACTGCTCCCTGGGTTACTCCAAGGGGAAATGCCCGCGAGTGCGCGCCCTAGCGGGGTGGAGTTCCCGCCTGCGGTGTTCTTTGTACCAGAGTCCCTCTTGCCTCTCAGCTTTGTGGGGGGGGGCACCTCGCCTGGCTCTCCCCTCAGCCCCCGGGGTGTATGTGTGGATGACAGTGCCCTGACTGTGAAGGGACTGACATCATGGGCGCTGAGTCACGGACCCTCCTGCTGCATGCACTGGCTCTAGCAAACTGTATGCCCCAGCCCTGGGAATTTAACCTAAGTGGGGAGGTTGGCCAGGGATTGGGACGTCTTGGGGCCGGCGCACACTGGGCTCCCCTTCCAGACGAGAGGAGGAGGGGTGAGGCGGAGGGCAGTGGGCGCTTGTTGCTCCTGTTGACTGTAATCTGCTCCCAGCAGCCCGGCCTTTCTATGGGCTCTGGCGACATGCCCAGCTGCGTGTCTAGTCTCTCGACTAGACAACTGGGCAACTGCTTCTCCAGAGGTTTATTTTAGGGTCTGAGAGCGTCTTTGAGGACACAGCGGAAAACCAAGGGGGCAGGGAAGGCTCTGGCTACTGCTGGACTGCATTGCGCTGCCACCCTGGGTGAACACCCTTGGCCCCTCTCTCCCTGCTGGGAGATAACCTTCTAGAGCTGGTGTGCCTGCAGCTCTCTTTGCTTTCTGGATGGTTGTGCTCCTTGTGCTTGAAAGAGGAAAGTAAAGGGATTTCTTTTCTCTGCACACATTTCTTACTCCTGCTGATAACAGCCAGTGTTGATTGAGGCCTTCTGTGCTTTATAGGTTTTCTAATTATCCACTGGATCTAAATATGCTTTGTTCCGAAGAAGAGACTGAGGTTCAGAAAGGTTGGGATGGGAGGTTGTCAGGCTCACTTGGTGGAGGTCCACCCCTCCATGGCCGTGTGCTCCAGTGTGTGGATCCCCAAGGCTCCCAGATGTAGAACTAGCCCAGCAGAGCTGGGGGTGTGTTGGAGGCAAGCTGGGAGTCACCCCTGGTGGCTAAGTGTTGGGGCAGAAGAGGCCAAGGGAAGGGAAGAGGAGGCCTTAGCTTGCCCACCATGGTGTTAGAGGGATACAAGGCAGGGTTGAGGTTTGGGGTGGTCCGGGGAGTGAGCAAGGCTCCCCTGCCCGCCTCTCTTGCTACTCACACCAAACTCCAGGGCACCTGCCCCAAGGAGGTTACTGCTGTGGTGGCCGCTTCCTTTTGTTCCCAGGTGGTTACAAGGCACTTCAAGAGTAGCCAGTTGCAGTCAGTTCTCCGTTTCCCTGGTGCTTAGGAAGGACGGGCAAGGTGGGCTCAAGGCCTGAATAGCCCGTGAAAGGCAGAACCGAGAGTTTGGGGAGGAAGTGAAAGCCCTCCCAGCACAGAAGGAAAATGCAGAGAAGTAGAAAATACCCAGCTCCCCTCCCACACCCACGCAGACTCAGCCCACAAACTTGAGAGTAAAAATAAAGACATTGTACAGGAAGCATGGAGCAAATGACTGTGAGATGTCTCGCTTGGGAGAAATGAGGGGCTGACTGGGTAGCGGCAGCTGGAGTTGGTTTAGAGGGGAAATCCACTGGCTCTCCAGGCTATGGGCTCTTATAGCCAGGAGGCGTGCTTTCCTCGGGACCAGTGGCTGCCCACAGGCCCAAGAGCTGGCAGGACTGCTCAGGTGTCCTTGCCATCTAGGGGCCTGGACTAGCTGGGACTTAGGTGCTGGGCGTGGAAGGCCTGGACACGGATGACTCAGGCTCCTTCCGCCTTCTGCAATGCAAGACCATACACAAAATGAGCACGTTCACCTTTAAGTCTCCCAAAGTCCTGTTTCAACTTCTGATCTTCCCTTTAGGGCAACCTCTTCCTGCCCCCAGTGCCTACCTGCATTCCTAGCCTCACCCTAAATCAGTATTTCTCAAAAGTTCTGGGTCTAGTTGTGCCAGAATTGGTGTGTGTGTGTGTGTGTGTGTGTGTGTGTGTTGGGGGGTGGGGGAGGGGGGGCTTAAAAAATGCCGATTCTTGGTCCCCACCCCAGATTTACCAAAAAGTAATATCTGAGAGTGAAGCTCGAGAAATCTCCTTTTCAACAAATGCCTGTTTTGATTCACAAGTTTGAGGATGACTGGCTAACCTGTGCAATTGAGGAACTGAACGAAGGCCCTCCCCCATCAGGCTTCTAGTTGCCAGAAATTTCTCCCTGCTTTGGCTCTGCCCCTTGTTTATTCATTGCAGCAAACATTTATTGAGAACATGTACAGCCCTATGGGGCCTGTGTGGGATCAGCCACCCAGACTCCACCCTAAAAGAAGCTTGAGAATGGTCAAGTGCCAAACCCAGCTCTCTGACCCATCCCGCTTGGTACCAACTACCCAAGGACAAACTGTCTAGGGGGTAGGGGGAGATGGAGACAGGAAGCTCCTCTAATTGAGGACCAAGACCCGAGGCAGCAGGCACGCTGACCCTGACCCCATTCCCTCATCTCCGACCCTCAGTTTTTTCCCCTGCGAACTGGGTAAACAAATCCTCCCCTCACAGGGTGTTGGTAAGGATTTCACAAAGCACCCAGGTGCTCGCTGCTGTTCATATGCACCCCTCCCCTCCCCTCTCCTCTCCTCCACTTCCTCTTCCCACCAGGCCTCCGTGCTCCCCACCTGTGAGTGAGTGCGTGCATTCCCGTACTGATCAGTCTTAAAGGTCTAGAGCTGTGCTCTCTGATAGGCTAGCCACTTACCAAGTGTCGCTGTTTAAATTTAAATTAATTAAAGTGAAATCAAATTAAAAATGTAGTTCCTTAGTTGCACTGGCCACATTCAGGTGTTCAATAGCACATGTGACTTGCGGCTACTGTATTGGACAGTGCAGATATAGAGCATTTCCATCATCACAGAAGGTCTCTGGATGGTGCTGGTCTAGAGCACTGAGCAGTTCCTTCCAGAGTTTTCTGCTGCTTCTTCCTTTATCCCTCCCCAGACCTTCTCTCCTCCACCTGAACACAGCTCATCTTGCACAGGTAACGGTTAAGTCTTAGGAACCAGACAGCTCTCTGCCCAGCCCTGCCACGTAGAAATGACGTGAACTTGGGTGATTTTACCTCTTGGAGACTCACTCTCCTCCTCTAGAAAATATAGATAATTACACTACCTCCTGGAGCGCTTATGAAGGTGAAATGAGCTCAGTAAGTTTGTACATAGATATAGAAAAGTCCCTAGCAGAGAGCAAGCACTTGAATAAGTGGAGCTAATAATTCATTCATTTGAAGAAAATATTTTGAGCTCCTACTGTGTTCCAGGCACTATTCTAAGAGCTATAGATGCAGAGTGAACAAAACAGACAAAAATTCCTGGCTCGTTGGAGCTTCATTCTAGTGAGGATGTAAATTAGAAACAGAGTATGATATGACCACTGCTAAGGAGGAAGAATCAAGCAGGGGAGGGATGTAGGAACTGTGTGTATAGGTTGAGGGGGCATGTAAAATTGGTCCTTTCGAGGGGAGGCCAAAGAAGTTCTCACCCGGAAGATGCTATTTGAATGAAGGCCCAAAGGAAATATAAAAAAAAGTTTAGGATTCTTTATACTCCCATCTTGGGTAGGAAAATTCTTGCCTCCTCTTTAACAGTCTGGTACTACCCTAAAGGCCTATTAGATTCTGGAGCAGGGGGCTCCTTGGGGACACATGCGTGCCTCCTGCCCTGGCGAAGCTTGGGGGTGTCTCTGGGGAGACCAGGCCTCAGCCATTGGGTCTCTTAGACTCCAGCTGGACAGGGAAGTGCTAAATGTGTCATTAACTGCCATTGAGGTACGAGTCTTTGGGAGAGAATCTTTGAGGACTGGAGTGGCAAGGGGAAGATGGCAAAGAAAGGCTTTTAATTCTCAGATCCTCTGTCTGGTGAAGCCCCTGGGAGTTTCATTTGGGTAGTTAATCTGTGTGCTTTCCTCTCTCCTCTGGGCTTGAGATCCAAAGAGGTCCAAAGTCTCTGGCCGAGTTGGGCTTTTCCGGCACAGTCCTGGGTTCAGGCCCAACTTCTAGCTGCACCTCTTCAGGTGCACTCCACCCGCCCCCACCAGCTCTGCCTGTGGCTCTACCCTTAGGAGTGTGTCCCTGGGGCCCTGAGTCCAGGCTGTCTCCCCAGCTCCTGTTCTCAGTTCTCTTACATCTCCCAGCTTCCTTTTCTAAAAAGCATCCTTTGGTCTTCCCTCTGTACATGATGGTTTTAGTAACTGTTACTGTATTGAGTGACAGCTGTATGCATGGATCTGTGCCGGGCTTTTTGCATCTGTGATCTCATTAACTCTGCACAGCAGCCTTGTGTGGGAGGAGTGTTAGACCCATGGCATAGATGGGATAGGCTGTGGGACAGGCAGGTTTTGTTGGAGAGGAAGATCAGCAGGTGAGTTTTGGACGTGTTGAGACTGAGGCGTCTATTAGACAGCCACGGGAAGATGCTGAGGAGTTGGATACAGGAGTCTGGAGTTTGGGAATGAGGACTGAGCCTGAGGTATGACTTTGGGAGTTGTCTGAGGGTGGATGTGATTTCTAGCCTTGAGAGTATCTGAGATCACCTAGCCCGAGAGTGGAGATGGAGAGGAGAAGAGAAGAGGCTCCAAGCTGGGCCCTGGGACACGTCAACCTTCTCAGGC